AAAACTAACCTATTTTTCTGGGAAAAAAAATCAGTTGTTTTTGAAAGCAACTCAGTTTTTAATAGATTTGAATATAATTTGAAGGATCTAGCATCTTTCTCAGACTCTGAAAGTCTTCTATAGATGTTTTCATGTCAGATGAAGGACTGAAGTTTTACATGCAAACGATTTTGCTTTCATTCATTCTTAACTGTTAACATTTCTTGTTTGTACATATCCATGCAAATTTTTAAGCTGATAGGCACATGTAATTGTTTTCAAGGCATAGGTTCTCCCTTTCCTGTTAAATTTGCAGAACCAAAACCTGTTCTTCCAAATAGAAGGAAGGCAGAATTAGGACATATATTTTGGAAAGAAATAAAAACCATGATTCATTATGTATTAAGTTATGATACCCTGTAAGCCTGAAAAAGAGGTAATTTAGAAAAGAACATTCCTTTGCTATGATTTATTCCATGTGCATTTTGTAGCTCCATTGCTGGACTTACACATATTTTGAAGTTGCATTAGTTTTTCCAATATATTTGAGCACTTGTTAGTAACTTATCCTCAAAAACTCAAGTATTTTCAATACTTTTTCAAGAAACAGGATAGTTGGATATTTGTGATGCCACTCCGTCTTCATCTTACAAAAAAAATGAGTAAATGTCAAGTAATTTGTGTCAGGTGTATGCTCCAAATGAAAGTCCATCAATCATTTTTGGCCCTTTAGTGCAATGATTATCATTTCAAAGACGCAGGAGGACATTAAAGATAATGGCTTTTCTGTTGTCTATTATCTCTAACAGACTTCACATAATTATTAACATGTGTTCTCATTTAAGAAGAGTGTCAATATTTTGAGTGAATTGCATTTTTTTAACTGAAGGGGATATGTCTGTCAGCAAGTTTTTTGTCCATCTAACTAAATGAGGAATTACAATTAATGAATTTTGTGTTTCTGCAAGAAGGGCAGATATTGCAGAAAATGTTGGAAGCTTTGCAGGGTTGAAACACAATGTCTGTCTTCAGCTGTCTGCATAAGATAATAAGCAGTGTTCAAACTTGAGTAGAAGTAGTAAAATGCTAGTGCGTGCTCTTCCGAGGCACTCTCACTTTCTTTTTATTTTTTGTGCTGTACTGAGAATGAATACAGCATTTCCTTGTTTACCACAAAGCTCTGCAGTCATGTAGGATATGGAAAGTATCTGTAAAGGGTAAATATCTATTTTGTGGCTTTGTCTTGTTTTTCCAGTTCTGATAGGAATAAAAATATGGAAGTAAGTTTCTTACTAGCTCATTTCTTACCTCCCATTTTATCCTGAGAAATTGCCATTTGCTTGTCCTTTAGCAAAAGGCTAAAAATAGTGGGGTTTTTTCATCCAACAGAATTGCAAATAGAATTACATGTCTCCCAAAATATTTTTAAAATATTTAAAAAATATAAAGCTGTGGTTCATCCATGTTAAACAAAAAATAGTTAATCTTGGGTCTCCTTTGAGTAGGAATAAAAGAGATACTGTCTAGTCTTAAGCTTCTGAAATTTCTTTGGTAACTCTTGGAGTGTTTATGTAGAATGGCTTGAGGGGCATACTTACTTGCTTCTTGTGCAGGATATTCTTCCTCTGTTCGAACAGGGTTTCAGCAGACTACTTATGGGTCCAGGCTGTTGACTTCACCATAAAAGTTAATGAGTGGGAATGGAGGGAAACACTGTGATATGCAGGACAGCTTTTTAGCTTATGGTTTCTCTCAATAAATTTAAATATTATGGAAAGAATCCATGCACCAGCAGGAGGAAGGATTTAGCTTTTAATCACTAAAGTAAACTGAATCTGTTCAGATTTCAGCACCAGTAAGTGTCCTGGACAGAATGTAGACATTACAGTTAGACAAAACAGTGAAGTCTGTCGTATAATATTTAATGAAATACAGTTCTGGCTACATTAGAGAAACACCTTTTAATGGGAATGACAAAATAATTTATGAATGTGTTCAAGCTTCACTATGACTCCACTTTTAAATTAGATGATATATATTTGAAAGATGTAGAAGGGGCACTCGTGTACAGCAAATCAACAAACTTAATAACATTAAAAAATAGTTGGGGAACACCACATAGAACAAATAATGTTATGGATCACTGAATTAAATGAATTAGCACAAGCAGTCACAATTTTGTCATTGAGCCAGAAGATGCTGCATCCATTACAATGATACATTCATAGTCTGGAGGAGCGGCAGGCAGCTGGCAAACCCTGCCAGCTGGCATAGCAGCATCAACTGGCGTCAGCTGGATTTTAGCCGCTTACCTGACACTGCCAGCTACAAGCAAGTCCCAATATGCTGAGAGGTGATCAGTGATTTGTCTTTTAAAAGCATAGACTAAATAGTTCAATGCAGTCTTTACAAACTTTCATTTTATTTGCCTTATGGTTTTTATGACCTGGAAAAGTGCTGATTTTTTTGTGTCTCCTTTCCATTTGGAATTCACACACATATTTAATTTCCTGTCAGTGACTTCCCCAGAATAACCATAATTTGGGGCAAAATGAGTATTTCTGAAAATATGTTCTCTGTTTTACTACTGATTATATATTTTTGTTGCAAAATCTTTCAAGTTACACATCGATTCTAGAAATCTATGACAGAAGTCCTAAGGACTTAGCATTACTACTGTGTTTTTACAGTAGTTTTATGCCCAATTTAAGCTATTCTGTTGTCTTGTTGCTCCATTTTTGCTCTCTAATGAATAAAATATTAGCCTTCAGTTACAGATTTCAGCTGGTTGAAGCTATTTCAGGTAGTCTGAGTCTAGTTTGATGCCTGGTAATTGTGACCATGTGTACATTTGTCTAAAATGCATGTGAACATACAGTTAGTTGGCCATTTTAAAACATGAATCTCTGTTTTAGCTTTTAAAATTATGCAGGATCTTCTTTAAAATTTTTTTCACTAATCTTTTAAGGAAGAAGTCTTGCTTAGCAATGGGAGCTAGTTTGATCATATCTGGAGAATACATTAGCACTTAAAAATATTTTAATGGAATGATTTCAGATGTCATATTGCCTACAACAGCTTTAGTCTGGAAAGGTTTTGCCTCAAACTAGGCATGTCTAATGGGGTTTATGACAACCTGTGAATTTGCCCCTGAACAAGGTCAACTTGGAGGTCAGTGAATGCTATACAAATTGCATACTACTCAAGCCTGTAATTATCCCTGTAAGAAGTTAATGTGCTGCGGAGTTCAGCAAATTCATGTAAAGCTTCAGAAATGACCATGATAAACTGAGCAGGTACTTATATTTGCACTGAAAAATCACAGTCAGCAGGATGTGATGCTTACAGAGTATTAATTTATGGTAACTTGTAGCCAAATCATCTTGTCTGCTTGTGTACTCAGGAGATAAACAGCAAGAATTCTTTCTCATTTGAAGAAAACCCTTTAAATAATATTACTTTCTTAATATCCAGCATACGTGCTGTATGTATAGGCTGGAAAAAACTATCAGGATAGATTTTATTTCTAATTTTGGCAGAAAACATGCAACATCTACTTTAGCATAAGTTCATTAAATGTTGAGTCCCTACAATAGGGACATAAAATATCTGTCAGATCTTTGTTGAAGGCAGCATGTATTCCAGCTTGTTCATGTATTGTCCAATTTCAGTACTCTATAAATAAGAACTAACTGCACTTTCAGGTGAAAATGTCACTATATTTTCTCTTTTTCCTGTATTTTTTAACTACAAATCTACTTTTATGTAGGTGAATGACTAAGTAGTTGCACAGTTAAATATTCCTTAATCCCATAAAAGATAGGTAAAAAACATTTGTATGAGTTAGTGTAAATTTTGTCAGTTAACTGTCTGTGATGTGAGTAATCCAAATGTAATCCAAATATTATTGTCATCCAATTATTAAAATTAAATTTGGATACATATAGATTAAATATTGTTCAGATACTAGAAATATAAATTTAGGGAAAACTTAGCTATTAGTTTTAATTTTACATATGAGTTAGTATTTTTAATAGTATTTGTTCAACACTGTGAAGCAAGCCAACTGCTTGGATCTGAAGATTTCTTATTTTGAAGAACTTACGTCTGCATTGCATTTTGTGATGTGCTGCTGTCTTATCTTCCTTATGACATAAAACAAAATCACAAATACCAACAGTCCAAACATTGTGGGAAGTTTGGTTTTGACATTTCTAACATCTGAACTACACTTCTAAAATTCTGATGGTTTACTTTTCCTTACTTTATTTATGGACTGATCCACATCAGTATCACTAATTTCAACCAGCCAAAATAACTCCTCAAGATTTCCCTCCTTCCTTTTTGTTCTCCTCACCCCACCCAACATCTGAAAAGATTACAGTCTGAATATCAGTATATTATACTAACAAGTGTCTGTTACCCAAAGTGTGAACAAGGTCCTCAAATCCTGGTGAAGTGTCAAGGGTGTGGAAGAAGCACATTCAGACAAGAATGAAAGCAATCCTTTCAGTAGCCCCTAGTGTTCCAGAAATAATGTTGAGAGGGCATAAGATGACAATTCTCCAATTCCCCTTGGTCAGGAATTGATCCTTTGTCAAAAAGATAGACTTAAATGTGTTCACACTGAAATCTAAACTAGCAGACAAACGAAGGACATTGTGATCTACTCAGAGTGTCATAAATAGTTCTGCCCTGCTCACTTTAAGGAGAAAACGGAAAAAGTATATTCCAGAATAAATATTTGATGTTCCTTTTTTCCTTCTTAATAGCATCCTACAAGTAAGAGGTGATGTTCTTTACTACACCTGGTGAGAATTCAAGCTTAACATTTATCAGCCATTTGTTAAGGTGCAGAGCATAGAGATAAGATGAAGGTCTTACAATCACATTTAGTTAATAAAAAGTTTGATGTTTGGAGAGACACTGAATTCAATTCACAAATTAGCTCCTGTCGTTAATGTGAATGAACCCTTTGCAGTGTTCATTTGATCTCTGATCACTTTGCATCATCTTTCTAGATTATCAAATTGCTGGATGGAAAACGGTCTCAAACTGTAGGTATTCTAATATCCAGTTTGCACCTGGAGATGAAGGATATTCAACAAGGTAAGTGTTTCTTATGCTTCATGTATCATACTTGCATGGATATTTTCTCATAGCCCCCTTCAGAGAATTTCTTACATTACAGAATGTGCTTTGAATGTAGTCCTCTTTTAGATGTCAGAAGAATCATCCTTCCAGTGTATTCCAGTATATGTAAAAGTATCACCTAAATAATCAGAATTGAATGTAGGTACAACTCCTTCTGTACCATTTCAGTTCGCATATCACTTTCAGTACAGTGTTTTCTCAAAACTGTTTTATGTTCCTCCCCTACATTTCCCTCCTTTTTCTTAAGCAAGTCCTCCACTGACAAAAATTAAATGGAGGGCTTATATATAAATCTTTTGGGCTTCAAACATGCAGTCAGTATTTGTTGAATGTTTAAATTTTGCTTCATTAGCAGTATAAAAAGCACATCCCAAACTGATGCAGCAACCACAGCAATCAGAAAGATGATTACTGGATGGCGTTTTTCAAAGCGTAGGGCTGCTCAATGTATAAATTCCATTACTGGTAGAAATTATCTGAGTTTGCCAATACAACTGTAGAGGAATAAAGATTTTTCAGAACACTGGGGTAATTCAGATTCTGCTTATGTTCTGGATTTAAGAAGATATTGTTTAAGGATATTGTTTATTTCTTTTTCACATTAAAAAAAGGAAAATATTCACCATTTAAAACAACTGCTGGAAGAATTCAAGTTGATGTCTCCTTTTTGCTATTGTCTTCCCTCCATCACATGCAAATACTGGGTAGAGTGTTGAGATGCTGCTGGCATTGATTATTATTAATTTCAGAAGAGCCTTTGAGCATCTAGCACTTTAAAAGCACAAGGGCTTACAGATGTCTCTTGGGATGGAGGGAAACAACGAAAAGAAGGAATAACTTTGTGCCTGCCAGTATTGTGTGAAAGGTATCAGAATGAGATGGAAAAAACCCTGCTATTGCTAAAGGTCTGAATAATTTGCTGGCAGGAATTACAACAGCACAGGATGGGATAGCAGCTGTATCATAAGAACTGGGTAGTATTCTTAAGTATCTTCAAGATAACTCTTTATTTTCCATGCCATGATATTCTACTAAAATAGAACATCTCTATCTACCTACCTATCTTATCTACCAGTCATTTGCTGTACTTCTATAGCTTTTGAAACCCTCTGGCCGATTTATACCAAATTTAAGAGAAAAGAATAAGTCAAATGTTTGGGTGTGTATACACTAGCATTTTAGCTTGAACCAGCAGTGCATTTTTGAATCAAACTTACCAGTTGTTCCCTTTGCTCTGTTTGCATTGCAGAGCAATGCAGAGCAGTCTCAGAGTGCAGAAACATCCTTCAGAATTAAATTAAATGAGATGTGCTCTCGGAGCATACCAGTGGTCTCCACCTACAGCAGACTTTAAATTCCACAGGATCAGATGGGCGATAGTTAAAACTCCCTGAAATGTGTATAGTGTGGGCACTGGATCCTCATTACCAGCTGTTGCTGTCTACAAATCCATTTCTAAAGACTACACTACTTGCAGTTGTAGACACAGCTAATGTAGTCCTACAAGTTTAATGAAAATTAGAGTGTTGGTAGAAAAGAGCATCAAAACAAGTGCTGTCACTGAAGGAAAGTTTATAACTCATCACCCTCTCTGTTCTGAGGTAGCAAATGACTGGCCTGTCACCACGTGTTGCTCAAAGCAGCAGTAGGATGTGCTGCCTCTTGCTTATGGAAACAGCTAGGAGATACAAACGGGATTTGGGAATACTGTTAGTGGAACTTTTTTTTGAAATACAGTAACAAAGCAGGATGAGGTACTCTAATCAAGATCTATGTGCAGAGACTAGGGAAAAAAACAGTTCACCAGACTCGGGGGAAACATCTGTTCTGTAGAGAGGATCTTTAGAAATGCATACTACAATGAAGACAAAAGTAGAATTATGGTTGTTTCTCTTTTAGTGTGTGTCTATCCCCTAGTATTTTGTTTAAGTTAAATCTGTGTGCAGTCCTGCCTAACAGTAGACAAATTCTTTGAAGACGGCTATAGTCAACATACTGGGTGAAAAAAGATCATAATAAGCTGAATAGCTCATGACAATGCCTAACCAGAAAAGCATATGACCATTGGGTGATGAATGTCAAAGTTCTTTTTTTTTTAACAAAGTGAAGTTACAAAGAGCTACCTCTAAGAAACATGAAAATTAAGCACTCATCCCTTTTCTCAAGCCAATTTCCACTGCATAATTCAGTATGTGAAAGACAAGGAAGAGAAAAGTTAATGTTCTTTGGCAGCTTGCAACAGGGAATGAAGAAACCTGAAGCAAAAGAAAGTTGAAATGAAAAAAGAAAAAGGGTATCTGATTTTATTTCAAGTTTTTCTGACCATGTTTATTGAAGAGCCATGTACAAATGAATTTGCTGTCCATGTATAGTGTACTGGTTACTCTGCCTTAAGTAGCAGTTACAGAAATGCAGATAGAGAAAAACTGTTCTCAAATGAACTGCCCTATGCATAAAGAGGCATGCAAAATTGTAGAGAAGACAAAACAAGAGTAATCACAAGAAAAATTACATCCTTCTTTAAAATAGTGTGAGATTTCTGCATCTATAGGATTACCCTCTCAAATTAAACAGCTTCACAGCGTATTCTGTAGATAGCTCAGCAGTGCAAAACAAGTGAGTGACCATATCTGGCACCCAGATGTTTGAGTTTGCATTTGATAATGAGCCAGCTGCCACACTTCAAGAAGGGAATCTCCCACACATGTTTGTTTGAGAGAGTGAAGTCCATCCTTTGCCGATAAATTTAAATTCTTGCTCTATCTGAGTACAGTCTAGGGAGAAGACAATGTAAGACTGAATGATTCTTTTGGCTACTGTTGGGATGATATGATGCAGAGGGAAAGTTAACATTGTCATGCTGCACCTGTCCTAATAGCTTTTTGGTAGGTGGGAGAGGAGGAGAAGTCCTAGGTGCTATAATGTTCTGAGAACACTAAGAAATTTTATTGGTGAATCCGGTACTGAAAAGGGTAATGTGGTTTCTGATTGGACCACTATTAATAATATTTGTTTCCTGAGCAGAAGCAGCAGACAGAAATTCTGTCTGTCTCAGTATGCTATATAGGATCTGTATTTATATTTAAAAAACAAATAGCAATAATCAAATTGTGCATAGGTTTGAGATTATTTCAAGGCTTCTTCTCTGTTTTTTTTTTTATTATTCTTTATAAACAAGAGATGAGGAATAGTGGAGATCAGCTGTTAGGTACGGAACATGCTTTAACACTACACACTTAGAGAAGTAATCTCCATTTCGTATCAATGCACTTCTGTTTTACTTTTCCTATCATTGTTCAGCTGAAATATTACAGCTTGAGAGAAACTAGTGGCTCAAGACTACTTGTATGGCTTTGCTGTTGAAATATTACAACTCACTCCACAGTGAGGTGTTTCACTTCTGTTTCTAATGGGAAATGCTGATTACAACTGTATGCGAAGACCTTCTGTGGACACTGGTCCCAGCTTTTTACAGGGTAACATTCCAGTCACTCAGGCAGTTCCCAATACAGTAGCTAGCAGTAGCAGTATACTGGAAAACGCATAATAATATTGTTTTCTGCAGTGTATGTCATCTGTGCCAGCTTCCCATAAGCTACTGAGGTCTTTGTTCAAAACTGGCAAAATTGTGGGGCAGCCCAGATGAAAAAAAGTTTTAGTTGCAGAAAATGGGATGTAGATAAAATGTAGATGCCTGTGTCTAAAAGAGTGATTCTCCCAAATCCCTCCCTACCTCCATAGTACCTGCCTTTTGCCACTAAAATTGCGGGGCACCAGAAGTTCTGCTTCTGTACATTGCTGGAAATAGATCACTGTCTAATACCCCTGATTTCCATCAGGATGCATTAACTAGATGGTCGTACATGCTAGTATATTTTCCTTGGGACCAAATCTATGAGATGCGGTAGATCACACCAGATGCACACTTTACAGCTTATTGCACTCTTCGTGGCAATGAAGTGCCATATTACTCCATGCAGAACAGCTGCAGGCTTTCCTAGTACATTTACCAAGGCAAGAGTTTAACACTGTAGCACTGCAACATTGACAGAACTTAGCCTATATGGCAAAGGGGAGAATTTAACGCTGATCCTTGGCATTGAGACTATTTCTAATGCTAATTTAGTTGTTGGGTTTTTTTTCTTTCCTAGATTTTAAGCAATTAAATATAATGTCTGAGACTCCATTTATTAAATCAGAGTAGCACTGGCCAACCTGTAACAGCATGTATGGGGACGTGGTATGTTTATTGTGCTTTTGGAACATTCTTATGTTCACCAACAATGTAAATTATCTATGCAGAGGCACATTAAGCTTTAAAATATTAGAGAAATGTATTTGATCACACTTAGACGGGATGGATTAGAATGAATTTTGTTAAAAAGCCTAGGTCATGCTATCTGCTTTTGTAGATTCACCTTCATTATTGGGGGTTTTTTGGTTGCTTCTCAAATGTGGAATATATTTTTATTATAGTGTCACAGTAATTATATTCTGCTGGTGAACAATGCACGTAACTATTGTGCCACTCTGCGTCAAACTTTTTTGCGTGGCATTGTAGGAGGGGACCAACTTTCTAGAAACAACGCAGTTATGATACTACTGTACAATGTCAGTCAACCAGTTGAAAAGTGTTTGATGGGTCTTCTCCAACTCTGTGATTTACCCTCCATTGTCAACATATTGGAGTAAATAATTGGAAGAATGTGAACAGCAGATTAACTCACCCAGACTGCTGCTCAGTCCAATAATCATTCTAATTCTATACTGTGTTTCTAATCATCCTGGGATTTCTGTGTGGTCTAATGAGAGGCCATAGAAGTTATAGAAATAGGTTGCACTGTCTTAGTGCAATTTATCATTTATGGCACATCTACACTTTAGAAAACATCATTGTTAACCATGCACTTTTCTTAGCATCTGAAAGACTATGTTTTATATGTATAAGGCAAACTATTTCAAAGGAACTCTGATCTGCAGACCTTGATGCGCTCAGAATTCTGAATCCCAGTTTGTGTTTTAACCATATCATGCAGCACAAATAGTTTCACAGTTCCTTTCTCTATTATATTTTGTAAATACTTCTGGATAAAGATAAATGCTTTGGAATCTTTCTTACTTGCACTATGTGAACAGAGTTTTATTGGGGTTTCAACTAAAATATTTTGCAGGATGGAAGCATAGATTATAAAGGTTTAAAGATTGTTGTTCCAAAGTTGTGTGACTTTTCCACCTACACAGAATACTACATGTATGCATTCTATATATACTGTATACTATGCGTGAAGTATAGAGATAGCTGCATGCCCATCTCAGAAGTTGGGAAACAATTTTCTTTAAAAGTTATTTTCTTTGTTCTGGAAAATTCACAACATATGTTTTTGTGAATCTGCCTTGGGCATCCAGCCTGATGTGGGTAGGTTAACATTAGCGCCAGAGTCTTTTGCTCATGACTTCTTGCAGGGGTTAGTCTTTCTTAGTCTTCTAAACCTACATTGTGCCCATGGTGCCTCTTTGTAATGTATATTTTATTGGGGTTTTGTGTTGCGTGATAGTTAAATACTGGAGAAAAACCTCTAAATAAGTTTAGAACATATCAATTTGTCAGAAGTAAACCAGAGTGATTTGGTTATTTTAGGCAGTTTTGCCAAGTAGGGATAAGTATTTAACAATTGTTGTCATTTTTCTAATTGACTAGATCAGTCATAATTTAATTTAAATTTCCCAGTGACAAGCTTCGCGTTCCTATGAAATCAAGCCTTACTCAGCAGAATGTACTACATAAAACAATAAAGTACTTCCAGGTCAAATAAATGTACCTTTGGCAAGTTCTTTTTATTTAAATAACATATTTCTGTTTTATCATTAGGGAGCAGTTAAGGTGATTTCTTCATATTTCATAGTTTAATTGTCACATTAAGTGGTTTGATACTGCTGAATATATGTAAGCTCTGTCAGCAGGACTTAAATCCTGATTTAACCAAAATGTGTTTAGTAGGAGTGAGGCTGTATATCAGAGTCAGCCTTAAGACTGTTTGTATTTAAGCTGGTCAAGAGGAGAGAACTGTATTTTTCAAATTTAGCCTCTAAGTTCTACAGTTGTATGTAGACTGCACACACTCAGCTTTTCTTTGGTTTACATTTTTGAAGTGATAAAACAGAGTATGTGAAAAATCTGTGCAGTAGGGAATCTGTTTTTACAGTTCGATTCATTTTTAAAAAGTGAGTCTGTTAAAAACCCTTGGTACAAGTTTATATTCCTAGCAATACTCTTAGTATGTGAAACGTAGTTGGCAAGTATTTTTATGTGTGCCTGTTAGTTTGAATGCATGATGCTGATCTGTTTTTTGTCCTAGCTGACGGTTATTATATCCTAATGGGTGCAACCCTGCACTAATGATCCTTGTGTATATAAATTCTTCTTGTTGTGAGCAGACACCATAGGCCACATAAAAATGTTTGCCTCAATTTCCCTGCAAAAAAGGATCTCAGAAACCAGACTTGGCCAAGTAACAGATTTTTTAAAGGTAGAGGAACCCAATAAAATTACCAGCTTTTCACAGCATGAGTCTACTTCCTTTCGGCATATTGTGAGGTGTAGGTGAAATATTCTAACTGAACTGACAGTGTAAGGAAGACAGCTAACTAGAAGGCAAGATAAAAGTAAAAACCACCGATGATGATTGATATTGTAATAGCTATTAATTGTTTTGGAGCCTCTTTTGTAGATTTATGATACTTCACCTATATTACTTACACTTATGTGAGTCTTGATATAATGAGATTTAATGCAGTAAAGTATCATGGTTAAATTCACTGTATAGGAAGAGCATTCTGAAAAGCTTCTGAAGGCTTTTATTCATTTTAATAATGTTAATATACATACGATTAAAACTGGGGTTTGTTTTTCGCAGAAAAATTAGAGAAGCTTTTGTTCCTCGTAACTCTAAGTAAAATAATTAGTTTCTTTGATCTAGTGTAATGGGTTTTTTTCAGCTGCCCCAATTCAAGTTAATTTACACAACATACTGTGAATATATTGCACATGCTGTATTTTAAGAATATGAAGAATACTAAGACACCTGTGAATTCAGGGATTTCTTCCAGCTTTTCAAAATCAATGCTTCTTTTTTTAAAAATGGGACAATCTTCATAATTTTACGTTTTCATTTTTGTCTTCCGCTCCAAATGTGTCTGGCATTAAGTTTGATCAGTGTGAATGAAAAAAGATATAAGGGCAAAGATAAAGATATTAAAATACATTAAGATGAAATAAAGGAATCTGTGTGGATTTTGGAGTACTTCTGACTTTTTGGGAGTGTGTCTCTATGTACACTAACATCCTAAGATGTCCAGCTATCATTGAATTGAGTAATATAGCTAGATTTTTAACTGCAGCCTGTCTGCATGGACAGAGCCAATAATAGCAAGACAGGTTGTATAGCAAGCAAATCCCAAAATATTTTCTCAGTACTTTTATACAATCGTACTTGTCCAAAAGAGAAAATAATTCATATTAATGTCTCGTAACACTGATTATTAATTATTCTGTTAAAAATGTGTTCATTTATCAGATTGCATTTTATTAGTTTGATCTCAAATATTTTTTGCTTTATCATGACACTTCAAAACAATACTGATTTGTTAGAAACATGGATAAGAAAATACAGCATTAAAGCCCACTTTGCTATTTTGAGGCCTTTTTTGTGACAAATATCTGCCTGAAAATTACAGTTAAATGTACAAATCTTGATGTTCTTATTAAAGTGTTCTTTTTTTCAAACTACTTCCTCTCACTGTAATAGTTCTGTACCTAAAAAAATCTACTGTTAGTTACATGTTTTGCATTTCTAGTACAAGTTCGAATTACCTCCAATAAGTTGCTTTTCTAGATAACTCTGGACAAATAGATTTCTCCTTGTAAGCAGATTTTGGAATATTCCAAAATAGGATGAAAGTGAAACCACAAGAGGAAGTTTTTTAACTCAATATGTGTATTTTAAAATCTGAACAATTAAATATATTGGACTGTGAAACCAGTTTTCCAATAGGTTTTCCAATAACTTACGTTCTTTTGAAATTTCATTGGCTAATACAGAAGATAATGCAACTCATGGAACCAGCTTGCAAAAGCCAACAGATGATCTCATAGATTCAATCCCTAATGATTTTTCTTTAAACAAATATTTTTGTCAAGCTTGGTCATTCAGGCTTTACATTTAGTTACACTCTTGAGCTTTTTTTCAATCTTTTCAATAAGACAAAAAGTTGGAGATACTGCTTTTTTTCACTGATACTGTCTTCTGTATAATTCTTTACTTCTAACCAAGGTGTAATGTCAAGAGATGGAATCATAATTGACAGGCAAAATTTTAAAGCATTCTAAATGTCATTGGACCTTTTAATAAAATTAATTAGCCTGCCACAGAGAAAATTTACTAGCCTGCTGGTTAATTTCACAATGTAAAATCATGGGGTAGGTGGAAGAGCAGGCGAAAGCTTATTACTTTTAAATAATTATTTAAAGATGTGTGCCTTGCCCCTTTCAAACACGGATTGCAAATGCAGCAAGAGCTTTTAAAATCTTCTAAATTCACAAGCAGTCAAATTTCCTTTGAAGAAATATAATACAGTTGAAATTAAAAGTTATCAGGTACTAGCTAACGATGAGTCACTGGTTATGTGGAAAATTGGTAGAGACCTTAAGCTGGATTCTTTGGGGATTAATGTTCCCAGTAACATTTAAACATAAGTCAGGAGTTCAGAAATTGTGCCCAGTCCCATTAGGAGTCTTGATGCTGGTTTCAGAAAAATTAAACATCCAAAGTTATTTCTATTCCCTTGTACATCTCTTAGCTTACTGGAATTTAACATTAGAGAGCATTAGAAAGCACCGTGAACCAATCCTATTTAGTTTTCAGAAGAGTCCCAATACATTGCCTAAATTGTAATGGGATTTGCAAATGTTGGAAACACCTAATGCCATATATTCCAAATGTAGTAACATTTGGAACTAAGACAGGAAACATTTTGAGACTTTTCATTTTTGGTAAGGAAGCATAATTAATCATTGAAGAGTATAATTTAGGTGTCTCTGTGTGATGTTTAAAAGTATTTATCTGGAAATTGTCATGTGGGTAGTTTTCCATTGGGTAAAGCCAGCTCAAACGTGAGCTGCTCTATGAAGATACCTTAAAAATCTGTAGCGCAGTCTTTTGTGCTTGCAAATTTGCAACTTGAAAATCTTGCAATTTTGTCTTTCTGTCTGCTTCCCAAGATTGCTAGCCCCAAGACAAGCAGATCTCCCTTTTTCATATCTACCTGATCTCCCATGCACATAGCAAGACCTAAATACCCTAACTCTCAATTCGTTCCTATCCAGCCTTCTAAGCTACCATGAAATCCGTGCTGTTCATTGTCTGGTATCAGTTGTTCCCATGTTCTCCTGCCTGGCTAGCTACACAATCAGCTGAGTACGTGGCAGGTCATATCTTTGACTGCTGAGTATACTGGAGAGGAAAAGTAGAGCTCCAGTCTCCTGAGACAGAGTTCATAGTAGGTTCCTGAGTGCCTTGACTTGAAGTCAGAACAAAAATAAAATGCTGAAAATAATAAAATATTAACTGGATACAAATATGTCCTTTAGCTAGGTCAGATCTCTTTAGTACATTTCTCAGGAAACAGAGTTGAACTCCTAAGTATGTTTTCTAGCATCTAATTTGTGATTGTATTCTATACAGCTATACTTTGTGTTGATGACTCCGTAGTAGATCTGGAAACACTGGAAGCACTATATGAAAATGTAAGTAAGCTGGAGTAAAGCTGTGGTTAATTACCGTAGCATTTCAGACACAGAATAAGTAAAGTTTTATTTTATGTTGTCATTTTAGACTAGAGACTTTATATAGAAAAAGTCTTTGGGGAATTTAACAATAATAAAATAGGTAACAAAAAAAATACCCATTGACATGCTTATTTCTCTTACTGGCTTAGTTCTTAAATGTCACAAATTTAAAACAGTGGAATGCCTTTGGAATGAGGTTAAAATGTAACAAAAGGTGTAACATCTAGCAGTGTTCTCTCATGAACTGCCTGAAAAATAACTGCCCTTACTTAAGGCGTGTTTTGTGCTAACATGCTGAATTTTTCTCATTCAAGATGTAAGTGCCTAAAACAGTTAACTCGAGCTAGTGCATTCCTGTTCTTACCCAAGTTGCTCTGTAGACTAAGTATATAGCATTCATGAACTGTGTGACTCTGAAGTTGCATGGAAGAATACATGTACACTTGGCTGTAGAGATATCAGAGCTACCTCTCTGACCTAAACTGTGTGAAGCATCCTATAGCAATATTTGCAGTGCTGTGTTCTACAAGGATGCTCCGCTTTGTGGCTATTAGTAGTAAATGGCACTGCAAGGCACTGAAGGAATTTGTCATGAATCTTTATGCCTCACTCTTTTGCATAGTCTAAATGTTTCCCAATAAAAAGTATAATTGTTACTTGCAGACAAACAGGTAAATTAGTAATTTATTAATTTGTTATTAATTAGTTATTACTTTATATTAATTCACTCAGAGAGCACAAAAGGATGAACTAGAGAAGATAAAGCAATATTATCAGACTTCAAAAGAGGAGGAACTGAAGCTTCTGGATAAACCAGAACAGTAAGATTTTTTTTTTTTTTTAAATTTTATTGTTATATAATATAGTCCTTTGCTGCTATGTTAAAAGGGATCTTGATACATAATTTTGGGTAGCTAATGTTTAGCTTATTTGTGTATTTCAAGGTATAATGTAAACTTTGCCTTTATCACATAGCTTTTTCAGGCATGACAGATCTTATGACATCAACTTGGACCACCAGAACTCATATGTAGCCTTGAATCAATAAAAATTTGTGTTCCCATTCTCGTATTTGTAAAAGGCATATCCTTCCTTCAGAGCTTTTAGGGCTAAATTAATGTGTCATAAAGCAGGGCCAGACTAATTTTGGTTGTTGATTATTTGAAAGAGCTACGCCAACAGAGGGTTTTGGTGAGTCCTGTGACAAAGAGACAATGTATGCTCTGCTCATGCTGATTGAAGGCCTACAAGGTTGATTCCACAGTTCATCTTCTGCAATTGTTGTGGACAGTGATGACTATTAGGATGAAAAAATTCTTAAGTATTGCTCCTTCTGTTGTAACAAACCTTAGACCAATGTGAAAATCGCAAAAATCCATGAGCAGAGTGGTAATCCTGAATTTTATTTTAGTGTATCCATTTGATTTCAGATTTTGGCCTACCAGTGGTGTTTGTCTTCTGCTACTTTGCTACTATTCCCATTGTACTTCCATCCTCTTCTAATCACAGTGCATTTTCCCGCCCTGAGGCCTCTCTGCCATCTTCCTTCCTTTCCTCATGTCTGTTTTTGTCTTTTCTGCTGTCTTTGGCATAAGAAAGGGTAGGGGGAGGAAGAACTGAAGCAGCAGAGATAGTATATGATTGGTTGATGTCAGAAGTATTACATTTTCATGTTGGGAGATAAGGCAATCACGTTTACTCTTGATGAAGAGTGGCTGTCATTCTTGAGTAAGACTTAAGACAAATGTCTGAAAAGTGTATATACTAGCTTGTTCTTGCATCCCATATCCATGGCTTTCATTGCATTGGCTTGGGGCATAAGAATACATTGTGTGACTAGTTGATGTTTTCCAGAGCTTGAATCTTTAGCAGTCTGTTTGCTGTATGTCTGAGTGAAATAAATATTAATGCATTTTGTGTTCTGGAGAATACGAATCATGTAGAGCTCTAGAGTTACAAAAGGTTGTCTGTTTTTGTAAATTATAGTGGAGAGAGGTTGATCTTCATTAAACACAAAGTTGGATTTATGCTATCATTGTTCCATAATTAAAAGTAAAGAACTGTAAATAAAGCAGTTACACCTGATGATTCAGAGTGAAATAGTAGTGTCAAAGACAAAAGCTAACTTTTTTATCAATTATTACTCTCTGTGTTCTCTTTGCAAGTCTTAATTATCCCATTTTTACCCTATTATTAAACTACATAGGTTAAGAAAACTAGCTTTTTAAAATGTTGCCTCAAGGGGGAAACAATTTGCTAATGATGCACTTATGTAAATTTTATTGGACCTTCAAAATAATGCCCTTTGAGTAGATCAGGTGCTGCTGGTTTTGTTGTCCAAGTCAAGCCTTCAAGTCAACCTAAATGCAGAATTGGAGATTTGTTGGAACTGTACTATGCATATTAATTCCATAAAAGGCTAAAGAAAGAAAAGTGCTACATTTGTATGTGTGATTAAAAATATTTGCTACAGGGCATATGCCTCATGTATTTTCTTTAATGAGGATCAGAACAAAAGTGCAAACCAAACCATTTATCAAATGGTCGCGAATACTAGCAATAGTTATTCATATAATGAAACTATTGATGTGAATTCACCAAAGTCTAAAGGAAACCTTTGCCATTTTTTAATGCTTGGATTACCAGGCAAATAGAAAGCTTTAGTGGTATCACTGATGCTCTCCTGCACATGCGATTTTGATTTGTTTTGCTGGCATGTTAAATTTGCTCTTGTTGGCACAAACTGTAAGTATGACAGCAACATGACAATACCCCCTTAAATTATGCTTCATGATAATACTTGTTAAAATGTTAATATTCATTGACATGTTAAAGATTTATATGCACAATTGACCACAGTTTGGGCCTTTGCTAGCAGGATACAAATGCTTTAGCTAGTTTCCAAGAAGACCCTTTTAGTTGTAATATAATCTCTGTGAAGTCCTCTCTACTGTGAAATACTAATAGGAGAAATACTAATGAAGGAAATAGTAGCAAAATAGGGTATAGAGCTTTCGTGTTTTGTATGTAGTTTGAATTCAGGAAGTAGTGAGCTATTAATAATTGCTGTCCAAGTAATGCCATTTACTTCTCTTTGAAGACCACTTCCCTCTGACTTCAGTTTAAATCCTGCCGGTTTACTTAGAAGCTTGCGGGATTAGATACATCTTTTTTCCCCAAAATTATTTCTAAATTTTATATTCTTCAAATGTGGATAAATGTGAACTGATAAATAGTTTACCTCCACAGAATCAGCCTTCTTTGTCTATCTTCTGGAAGAATGTTCTGTTACACTAACAACACGGTAACCTTTGCCTGGTTTCAAAGTACTCTCAAGTCCTTTACTACAAGATTCTGGTAGAATAAAAGAGTTCTCAAGTAAATGCATTTTTTTATTTACAGTTTCTGCAGAAGAGGAGTAAAATGGACCTCACGGAGATGAACAGCAAATTCTCTATGTTTACGTTAGGCCATAAGAAGTGTAGCAATGAGAAACCCATCAAAAAGCTATGTCACAGTCATGTCATTATTACATTAAGTCAAAATCATACTTTTCTCAGACTAAAATTGCAAAAAAGACCGAACTAAGAATATTCTTTTCCTCCAAAAGTTTTTTCCACCTGGATTCATGGTTTGTCTTTGATAACCACAGATTCACGCCATGACTTTGTGTTTAGTAACTACATTTGTAGTCACGAAGATTCTTTTTTGTGACAGATTTTAGTTATAAGTGTTCTGTCTGGATATTTACAATGAATACTTGGAATTCCAAAATCTGGAGACATTTTCTTTTTATGCTGATGCTCTTTTAACTCTTGGCACAATTATGTTGTATTCCAATGACTGGCAGTGTGGGAGATAGCTCCCTTTTCAAGGGAAGGCAAGAATATGTGTCATTTGACTTTTTAAATTTAAACTTTTAAAAATATGTATGTTAGAACTTTAGTGAAGCAGTTTGGGTTTTTCTTTCTTTTGTTTCTCTCACACAAAGTGCAAAGTATCCTCTTTTTTTTCTAGGCAATACCATTCATTCCCAATAGGAAGCATTTTTATTAATACCAGCTTGGCATTTCCTTTTTTCCCCACTGCTTAAGTGTAAGAGCCAAGCCGGGCCTCCCCAATCCTTCTCTCACGATAGATTTTTTTCATTAGGCAAGAAAGAAAAAGAAGGAAGAAAATTATATTCCAATTAAAACAAAGTATTTCACACCAGCCACAGGTGGATTTTGCTGATTTTTTTGGATAGTCACTATGTATTCAGCAAAGCATTGCATGCATGAGAAATTTTTAAAGCGGATTTTAAGATACTGGCATTATTTATTATGAAAAAGAAATAATTTGGAGAAATCAGGTGTATCAGCTTAAATAATTACAATAAATTTAATAAGTATCCAAGCTAATAATGGTTCACAGAATTTCCCATAATTCAGTGAGGTAGAAGAATCTTTATGGCATTACATTAAGGGGGATCTAAGGATATCTGTAGACAGGAGATTAGAAGAACGTTTCTAAAGTGATATTGGAGCAAAAGACAGCTTGTTTCTGGATTTCAAGAAAGCATGTGTATCGCTGAAATCCTAGACTCAAAACCCACAAAGCAAATTATGCAAACCATGTTATTATAAGAAATGCTAAAGCTTCTTGTATTTAGCCAAGCTCTTACATTTTAAATTGAAGAAAAGGGAGGAATTACTCATGCCTTAGGGATGCTTTCAGTTTGTGATATCCAAACTGCAGTTGTTGAATATGCTTCTATTTATTTTAATTTAACAAAGAGTTAAAGGAAGAAAGCTGGAATAGACTCATGAGGAAAGTGTACATATGAGGACAGATAAAGAGTTAGTAACTTTGCTGAACAGTGACTGAAGAGAGATAGAATCTGCAAATATTTTAGAGCTAAATACACGGCTAGATGCATTACCATAAAACTTGCTGCTATATAATTGGAAGCGTTGTGCAAATTAGTGAAAGAAAATTGAGGCTGAGCAGCAGAAGAAATTTCTTGGCAGATGTTTTATATTATGAAATAACTTTGTAGGAATATACTGAGTTCTGTATTGCTGGGCACATTTTTAAGGGAAGCAAAAACACATGAGTGAAAACAGTAAATAGTCTTTCTCTATGTCTTTCCTTTTATTTTTCTTTTTTTTTCTTTTTAACCTATGAACTAGGTTTATGATTCTTCTATTCATTGTGATGCAGCTGTGGTAGTGGATTAATGGATTAATGTGATAATGATTAATGTCTTGCCTTTTTCTTAATATGATTTCTTAACACATTGTGCATAAAGGATAGAACAATTATAAATGGTCAGATTTGATTCATAGTAGGAAAGATTGCATGTATATTTTATGATACTACATCTTTGATCCATTATGTACCCCACAGACAAGAAATATAAAGATTCATTAATACTCTTTTTTTCCACAGATTTTTATATGAGTTATCTCAGATCCCCAACTTCACAGAACGAGCTCAGTGTATTATCTTCCAGTCAGTTTTCTCTGAAGGGATAACGTCAGTGCACCGGAAAGTTGATATCATAACTCGTGTTTCCAAGGTAAATCCTAATGAAAGCTAAATAAAAACATAAATATAGAGTATTCATGCTTCTTTTTGTACCATAAGTGATGAATCTTAAGCCTGGTTATTGGCTTTTCAGGAAAATAAAAGTATATTAAATTTTTTAGCTGCTTGTAGGAACAAAAGGAGGAGGAAAAAGGGAAGGTGACTTGTGTGTGATACCCTATACTCTACATAGGAAAATCAATTTTTATTTAAGTGGCAGATTTTTATTACTTTGCACATTAAGTAGAGTAACAGATAACCTCCATAAAATAGAAATTAAATATCAGACTAGCTTAGTACAGGGCCCTGCATACTTACTTTTTTTTTTTTGCATATCACTCTTGATGCCATCAGCAATAGATGCCTATCACTTTCATTAGCTTATTACTTTCCCCTGGTATCTATACATTTCTGTTAACCCTGATACAGCAGATTTTTTAGTACCTGACAAAGCTTTACCTAAGATTTCTATACTATGAATGACTAAAGACAAGATTTTGAAATTATAACAAAAACATGAAAAGTAGAATGAGATAAGAATTAAAAGAAAAATTAAATAGTGACCTAAAGGTATAACATCCTGGCCAGGACAGTATTTAAATATATTTTTTTTCCAGTTTGAAGATTAGCTTTTGATCAGCTTTGCTGACACAAAGTACCCATGCTCTACCTACCTCTTTGGATTTCTTTGCATATTCTAACAATAAAAATAGTTATTTAGTGTTTCCTGCCCAAAGATGAGATAGAGAGAGTGATATTGCCCTCAGTTTACTTATGAGGAGCTTACACTACAATTGATTTATCCAGTATGTAGTACAAGGCTACATAGTTAAGAATTAGGCCCAGCCTCAGATTCTTGATTGACAAGATAGATGTCTTTATATGTAAATTAAAATAATTTATTAGTTCTCCAAAGTGTTTCTAGATTTCTTTTCTGTTTTGAGCATAGTAATTTAGTCCTTAGCCCTGATATACCTGCATTAAGTATGGGTCCAGAAATGTGAATTTCCAGAGCATCAGAACCAATGAGAAGCAGACTGAATATGACATTGCTTCATATGGATTAAGTTAAACATAGTATCTTAGGCAGATACACTCTAATAAATGCTTAAGTGCTTGATTCTTGTACCAGTTTTAGCTTCTTTTCCCTACAGAGGTAAAAACATACAAGAAACAAAACCTCTAGCAAAAATAAAATAAAAAAAGCTTTTTTATATTAGTGATTAGAATTTTTGTGCCAATGGAAGTTACAGACTAGTATCCATTTTCCAGGCTTTGCTGAATATGACAAGTGTAAAGGAAATTTTAGGTTTGATTCTGGCTTTTGGAAATTATATGAATGGCGGGAACAGGACCCGAGGTCAAGCTGATGGATTTGGTTTGGAAATACTCCCCAAACTAAAGGATGTCAAAAGCAGAGTAAGTACTCTTTTTTAATTAAAGATAATTTTTCTCAAGTGATCTTTTTTTTGTTCCGTCATCTGTCAAAAGTTATTTTTTTCTTATTTCTTTCCATTCTTGCTTGAAAGAGCAAGGCACTTTATACCATTTTCATGCTTTTTTCTCCCAACTTTTCACCTCCTCCTGTCCATGTGCATATTTCCATAATCTCCAATTTCTCCTATTCAGTACCGCTAGGATAATTAACTTACATAAGAACTTCTCTGTGTCTCTTTTCCTAGTAGGGACTTAATTACAGTAGGGTAGGGAGAAGTGAGAGAGCACAGACTGCTGAAGTCTTTTCCATTAACTGTCCCCATTCTTTTTTCTTGGTCTTAACTTAAGGTAGCTCTGTGTGAGTAAAAATGTTTTAAGAATCAGGTTTAAAAATGTCATATCAGTAAAGGTTCAGTGTAGCGTATACACTAAGGAATTATATGTAAGGAATATAAATATATAATATACAGGATTTTAATCCTCTTCAAAGAGGTATGTCAGACCCAACAAGATATTTTCAGTCTTTTTTTTTTTTAATTGGCAGTTGAATGGATGTAGGACATGAATTCTGAACAGCGTGCACAAGAAAATGCTCATAGGTGGCTGTAAATTATTTTGTCAAAAATTGAGAACCACTAGCACATTTTTGATTAGTCATGCTAGGATCAAAGTTGGGCTCAGACAAACTCTGGACACCTTTTGAGATGAGGTTACTTTGTTCCTTATTTCAGTAGGGTGGAGGAGGAGGTGCTAGGTAATCTAGGCAATGGAAACACTGCTCAAAGTCGTTCTTTGCCAAAGCATACCTAGACACCACAGGGATATATGAAGCAGCAAAGAATAGGAAGTATTTTCTGCTGATGCTGGTACAGATTTGGAGGGTGAGAAAAAAACCTGTTCTTTCATGTTCTTCCTCTTTTCCTATGTGAAGTGCTGTCTTGAACTATAAGAAAGCTAGATTTTAAGCTTTTGTTTCCAGTTATGCTTCATGTATGTAGAAATGCGTTTCTGAGACAGGCAATGTCAGGAAAGCAGTATATCTAGGGAGCTTTTTATTTTACTTGTGAATACCATCATTAACAAAGTGTAAAAGCAAGTTTAATGAATTGTTCAGGGATCAGCTGTATTAATGAAAGTTTTTCCAATGGACTTGAGTCCTTTGTCTGCTAAAGACATTGAGGTGCTGGAGCACGTCCAAAGAAGAGCAATAAAGCTGGTGAAGGGTCTAGAGCACAAGTCTTGTGAGGAGCAGCTGGGGAAACTGGGGCTGTTTAGCCTGGAGAAGAGGAGGCTGAGGGGAGACCTTATCGCTTTCTACAACTACCTGAAAGGAGGGTGTAGTGAGGTGGGTGCTGGTCTCTTCTCCCAAGTAACAATTCATAGGACAAGAGGAAACGACCTCAAGTTGCACCAGGGGAGGTTTAGATGGGATATTAGGAAAAATTTCTTCACTGAAAGGGTTATCAGGCACCGGAACAGGCTGCCCAGGGAAGTGGTGGAGTCACCATCCCTGGAGGTATCTAAAAGAGGTGTAGACGTGGCACTTAGGGACATGGTTTAGTGGTGGACTTGGCAGTGTTAGGTTTATGGTTAGACTCGATGATCTTAAAGGTCTTTTCCAACCTAAGTGATTGTATGATTCTGTGATTCTAATTTTTACTTTTCTCTTCATTGCAATGGTTCAGCTGTTCCCTATGACCACTTATCTTCCAGTCCTACTTCATGGACAAGACACAGTACAAGCTGCAGCTAAACTAGAACCAGGCCAAGTTTCCCAGTACTCAGGTGTTCATTGATTGGCCAGCTGCCATGAAGAAAAATGTAAAACAACTGAGTTTTGCCTGACTTTCTCAGTAGAAGTATTGATTTTAGACTCACTCTTCTATCTAACCATAAACTTGTAAGAATTTAATTATCTCTGGGACTTTCCAATTTGGCTGAATTTAGCCAGCATGTTCCAAAATTATGAATTATGAAAAGGAGTGACAGATGGACAGTGTAATTGCATAAGACTTGTTCCTTAGCAAAACAAGCTAAAAAATTACAGTATTTACAGTTTCCTGGTAGCCAAAATAAATGTATTATTAGTTTAGACTAGTCTCCAAAATGCATAAAAACTCAAAGGGGCCAGCTGCTACAGGCAGATGCAAAACCTCAGAGAAAATTGGTAAACCGTATCTGCAAGAAAGCAGAATGCAGGGTGTTGTATATTTGAACACTAAGGTATCCTTCTCGTGTCTCGTTATTCCCTTTTTGGGAATTGCCAGCAAGCAATATTACATCTCGGCAAGCTGAATTCCAGGAGCTGAGGTAAAGAGTCAATGTTAAGTATCTCCTATTCCACATAAAAGTAATTTGTTGTCACATGAGCCTAGAAAGTTACTTGATACAGAGATTTTTTTTTTTAATTGTAGCTCACCACTTCAAAATCTCTGTGTTTTGTCTTCTGCAAGTACTCTTTAAACCAAAGTAATAGGTTTGATAGTTTGGCGTATAGAAAATAGAATAACAGGTGTATTTTAATCTAAAAAGGCAATCAAATGTTCTTAAGTCACTTCAGTTCCTTTTTGTCACATGACCTGCCAGCAATGTCTTCTAAAACTGTTAGACAAGCAGAGTGGCTTTGTCTGCATGACAGCAATGACTTGCTTACTTAAGAATTTTGCTGGTATATGATATTAATAAAATATAATGTGCTGCAGGCTCTACTATAGGCGAGGCAGCTCTGTACAGGAATTCAGACATTGTTCACATACAAGTGTTTGTCCTGATACCTGTCAATGTACAATATGAAAACACATCCAAAAAACCTTCAGACATTCCAGATACAGTTCCCTATATTATGATTCTTTTATGTTGTTGAACAGTACCGTGTCACATATAAGTCACAACTTTACGCTTTTCCTTTAGTTCATCTGGCCTATGCTGACCCAATGACATGTAACAAAATAAAACGATGATGTGTACAGTTGTTGTATGCAGGACCATGGAAATGGTGATTCCAGAAAGAGGGTGTTAAAATTCATATTTATAAGGCAACAGGGCATGAAATATACTTGTTAGGTAAATGCTGTCTGGTTTTATATTTGGAGTAAAATATGAAGAATATCTATGCCTCTTTCAGGTCTTCATTACAGATGAATTGAGACTAGAGGAATCAAATTCAGTTCACCTTAATGTATGAGGTGACTGTAATATTTAGTTAATATTATATTCAAGAATAACATTATTAATATTATTATTCAAGTTAATATTATTATTCAGTAATGCCTTGTATTATTAAAAAAATATACAGGGACATCTTCTCCCAGTGCATGTTTTCTTACCGGGTATTCAGAACCAAAAGAAGCTCTAGGTCTTGTGGTGGTATGATCAAGCCTATGTTATTAAAGATTGATTTTTTGGTCAGTAATGCTAGGGCTGAATATATTGTGAGTCCTATTTCTCACAGCCATATAAAATAATAATATATTTATTTTGAAATAGAGTAAATTTTCACTCACTTGAAACAGTGTTAATCACACACATTTTTAATAATATATTTATTTTTTCCTAGGATAGTGGTATTAATCTTGTGGATTATGTCGTCATATATTACCTACGCCATTGTGATAAGGTAAAAGATTAATTTGCTGTATCAGTGTCTACAAAAGTAGGTTTCTTTTGGAGACTGTAGAAGTGTTTGTATTAGCTTTTTTAAAACTTGAACACCGTAACTATGATGGGAAAATAAAATCAATTTCTTTTGCTTTCTTATAATAGTTGTGGACCTCAATAGGTCTGAAATTTGGTATAGGTTTTATGATGAGGCTTTGGAAAATGTTACATTAACTGTTGAACTAACCACTACAGGCAATTGCCTGTGACTGTTGCAGACAGAACAGGTGGTCACTCCAGTCCTGTCTTCTTACATCCTGGTTACTGTAACGTTGTAAATCTTGTTCTGATGTGGTAATAATGGAAGACAGAAGCATGATTTCTCTCTTATGACAGAATGCAAGGACAGGTTGGTATTTTAAGATGAGGATGAAGTTAGAGGTTGAAAATGTGGGAAGAGGTGTGGCTGCTGCTTTGAGTGAGTTACATTTATGAGGCTTTTTGATAGATACTAGCAGTGCCCAAAGTTTTGGAGTGGAAAATTTGAACTATTGTCTTTTAAATTAAAATGTCACTATTAATTGGTTTTAACTATGTAATTGCTTGATTTTTGAGATTAAGAAGATGCCTTTACCTAATCTTTGAATCTAAGACTAGTGTAATTTTTCATGGCCTTATGTCTGGTTGAATACAAACAATACTTTGTTTTGTTTTGTTTTTCTTTTTTCTTCTTTTTTTTTTCCTTTTTTAATTCTTATGTAAGGACGTTGAATTGATGAGTTAGTAGTCATGAGTATTTTTTCCAGGACTAAGAATAAAGTAAGTGAAGTCTAAAGTAAGTGAAGACATTACCCCGCCCATGGCATGGGGCTTGGACTAGATGGTCTAAAGGTCCCCTTCCAACCCAAACCATTCTGTGATTCTATGGTCTCTAATGCTGGAGGGTCTGTATGTCAGGACCCTGTGGAACAGCTCCCGGGGCTGAGCTGTAGAGGAGATAAAAACTGGCAGATATGTAGAACTGTACTTGCTTTCCTTTTTTTTCCTTTTTTTTCTTTTTTTTTTTTCCTTTTTTTTTTCTTTTTTTTGAGCAGGGAAATAAAGTGTCATTACTTTAACCTAAGTACCCATCTTATAAAGAGCCTCATAACAAAAGCAACTTTGTCTAGCCTGTAATGTTTCTCAGTTCTCAGGGTATTGACATATATATTCTTTTCTTCTTTTTTAATAGTGCTGAAGCTAATGCTTTCTAATTAATGTATTTAATATTTCTGCAAACTTTCTACTATGCTGACATTTTACTTCAGGGAATTTTGTAAAACAAAACAGTTTATCCTCCTTAGGAGGAAATGGACACAGTGTAAATGTAATCCATTGTCCTTTCTTTCTGCCCCCCCAAATGTTCATATCTTTATAATAATATTACTTTTTGCTTGTTCACAAAACAATTAGTTCTCCAACCTATGAGTTTTACTTTATTACAGATGGAAATCTGTGCACAGGTAGTATTTTAAATTCACTAGTATATGCTTATACACAGCAATGTCATGTTAATACCATTTATATACTTTACTTGTTAAAGTTCCATTGGAGATATTGCTTTGAACCTTGTGCAGTTTTTTTGTTTTGGTTTGGTTTACTTCTGATTTTTTTTTTTTTACTGTGCTAAAAATAAGGTATATACATAGGAGTTCCATACAGACGTTAACCCATGTGATTTATTTAGCCACATAAACCTTCAACTGTATATTTTTATCTGTATAAAATACTTCAGGCAATATATAAATATTGGTTTCAATTTATGCTTATAAAGTGTGTGTATATTTAATGAATTGGGAGAGAGTGAAACCACAAGCTTTTGGCATAAGATCACTTGTTGCATTAAAATAGGCATTCATGTTATCTGTTTTTAAGAAACTTCTAATCCCTTATCTAAACCTTTATTGATATAAAATTAACTGAAATGTTGTGAGCTCAATGTTGTTTCATAGTTTAAATTGAGCACAGTTTGCTTTACAACATCTAAAAGGAAGTTTCAATACTCAGAATGCTCAGGATTTCATCTTGAATGATATATATGTTGTTTTAGCAAGAATGATTTAATATACATTATTTTTGCAGTTTTATAATAGAGTTTCATAGATGATGTTTCAAGAAAAGAAATTTATTTCACTGCAAATGCATTCAATTTTCATAGTGGCCTGTTTGTTTGTTTGTTTGTTTAGGAAGCAGGAACAGACAAGAGTATTTTTCCTTTACCAGAACCACAGGATTTTTTCCAGGCCTCCCAAGTTAAGTTTGAAGACCTAATAAAAGACTTAAGGAAACTGAAGAGAGATCTAGAAGGTAACTGGGAACTTTCACATTTGTTCTGCTAACAACAAAGTGCCATTTAAAATGTGACCTTTATGAGGTTTTCTTATTGCTAATTAGGTTTATAGTGTTGATTCATTTAGAGTTTTTACACTGTGGCACAAATTACTCACATAAATTAGAAAGAAAAAAAAAATCAAACTCATGACTTAATAAAAATGAAAGTAAAGATACTGAAAACTAATTTTCCCTTTTACAATCAAAAGGCCTCCAAAGAAATCTTTCTGAAATTTTCTTTAGTTATGTGTGAATTTTCCTCTGGCTTCTCCAGAACTACAGTGTTTAACTGTAGATATCTGTTAGTTCCATAACATAAATACTTTCTTCGGTACTTGTATAACAACAATTTAACAGCTACAAGAAAGACTTGAATACTATTAATGTAGAAATAAAACACAGCTTGCCAAGGCACAGCAAAGGGAAATGGAAAGCTCCAGTTCAAAATATTTTCACCCTGGGACATAAAATAAACATTTAAAAATGTTTATTGTAAAGAGGGGCTTAGAAACCCAACTCATCTATCAATCAAGGTACTGAGTGGAAATAAAGTAGGAAGGGTTGCTCTCTAAGTGTTCCGAGCAGTTTCATTTTTATTTTGTGCTTCATATGGCTTTCAAAATAAATCCAGCAAATGATGACTGAATATTTTAAGCTGTCTTTTTTGTTAAGGAAAAGTTGCTACTTTTACTGAAGCAGTTTTGTGTAGAAAATGGAGTTTAGGGAGAGAATCTGCATAAAAGCCTATAAAAGCTTCTCCATTTACATTTATATCTCTGCATCAAAATGGAAGTCCTCTTAGAATCAGAGTTGAACAAGATGATTGGTTTATTTTTTTTCAATGTAAGGCAATGAAAACCGTTACAAAATAATTTATCCTTACAGTTAGAAATTGCTGGATTAGGTCACTGCCATCTTTAGGATAGTTTCAAAGGTTAAGAGTGGTAGGAAAGTATCAGTTGTTGTTTGTTCGACCCGGGCATAAGTGAGTGCTCTATCTCCTCTCATCGCTTGGCCCTGTAAACCCCTTGGCCTGCCCTCTTTTGGGCTAGTTTGTGCAGAAACATGATCTGTGTTTGATCTTGTACTTTTTCAGCATGTAGTCCTGCTGTCATGTATCTTAGTCTTGCAGGATCTGCAGAGGCTGTGACATTCACATCATATTTGTTCTACATTGCAAAGACACAGACAGCAAGTAGGAAAAGCTAAACACTTTAAATAACTCTTAAAATAAAAACTGCAGCTTTCTTTTAATCACTGATTTTTATTTGCTAAAACACTTTCTTAGGTATTTATAGAAAATCTAGAAAAATTGTTATGTTGAGGTTGTTTTCATAATTCTTCTTTGTGAAGATGTATTTGAAACCCATCCAAACCAATTAACATATAAAGTTAGTGACAGCAAAGATTTGAAACAAAAAAGGTTGTGGAAATGTTTTCAGATGTTGGTATTTTATCACTCACAAATATGCAGCAGAATTCTAACAAGCATTCCTGTGATTAGTTTCTCTTATATTTAAACAAAGAAACAATCACTCATGTAAAAATGTTGTATCTCCTTCAAACATTCCCTTTCAAACTTTTTCTTCAGATAATGCTGTAGTTTATTTTTAAATCAAAATTTTAATTGAAGAGGTTATAATTTTAACACGTACAACAAAGATTTGATGAGTCTCTGTAGTTTATTGTAGCCATTAAAAAGTTGTGGCTGCTGGCAGAGTACCAGTGAAAGTCTAAAGCTGAAACAGATGTGAGTAGCAGAAACCAAGTCCAGAGAAGCGTCGGGCCCAGCTATCCAGACAGGCGCGGCCCTTCAGATGTAAATAATTTGCACAATATTAACTGGGGCTGCCTGTGTTATAGGGTACATTGGATTTATTTCACAGTTTGGTTGGCTAAGGTAGTCTTAAGAAGATTACCTTGGAAGTGGGATGAGACAAAGGTAATAAATGAAAGAGGAGTTTTCTTGTGTGCCATTAGGGAACGAACTAATGTTCCTGTTAGTGACTTACTTTTTTTCTGAAATTTGTACAGAATGATTAAAAAAAAAAGATAAATATCACCTCTTGTGCCTGAAATGGCAATTTTGATAGACACTTTTCATAATAGTTGTCATTTAGTATTTAAAAATATTTTTTACTAGTTTATCAAGGCATTGATTTATCTTTCTATCATGGATATTAATATAGGAAAGATTGAGTTATCATGAGTGGCATGTCTTAATGGTGTAAACCTCTGGTTTGAAATACCTAGACACTGTGGAACCAAAAGTTCAAATCTAGATGGAGCACAAACCCTTTCATCCTTTTCAGGTAAACAGATTGAGTTCCATACAATTTGCTATTTTGAAGTCTTTCAGATTTGACTTTAAAGGGACAGACTAACTTTAGTCTAAAGGGATTAGACTAAAGTTTGGCTCAAAAATTCAAACAAATTTTTGGAGAACCTTTGGAAAACCAACAGGTTTTTAATACGTATTCCAGAAAGAACTTTGTAATCATGAGCATTTTTTAGGTTAAAAAGAATGATAAACAAAAATATGCATTTAATATAGGCTTCTAAGGGGAAAGAAGTGCAAAAGAATGCAATATTAAATAGATGAAAATTATAGCATGAAATCTGGTTCCACTTTAAAATCACAGGAAAAAGATACGTTTTCTGTAAGCTCAGGTTTTCACTCCAGGTCTGTACAGTCAGTGTATTTCTAAGGTTTTCAAATATTAGATAGTAGCATAAGCAGATACATTTATGCATTTAACAGGTATTAGCTTTCCAGTTAATCTTTATATTTATGGAAAAAATATTTTGCTTTGCATCAATATTTTGAGATTGTAAGATATCTTATTCCTTGCCTAGGGCAATGTTTTCAACTTTTTACTTTCCCTATGACTAAACATGATTTCCCTTCTAGTCTGGACAATGCCACTTGATTGGTATTCTTCTGGAATAAGCACAGAATGTTTGAAATGTGTAATCATAAGAAGATTTTTAGAAAGAAAGCCACTTTATCGAAGTATGATAGACTTGTATAGGTTTTACCATGAACCTTTTATTCATCTCTCTCCAAAGTTGAACAATCTTAATTATTCAAAATTAGTTGCACTGTAGATTGTTTCCATCTGTCACACTCATTGCTTTTCTTTGCAACACAGTTCATAAAGTTTTAAAATGCTGCTCCATTAGTCAAAAGAAAGGAATATTAGATTCCTTCTATCATTTACTGTAATGTTCATTATAACTTTTCAGTATTCTTGACCTTAACATTTGAAGGCGCAAAGGTATTTATTGAATGGTTAAAAATGGAAACCAAGGTAGGTCCAGGCTGAATACTTTCAAGAGTCACACTTTTATTTCTCATAATTAATTAAATTTCCTATGAGACTGTAACATTCTGATCCCATTGAAAATGCACATACCTTTTGCTTTTGCCTTCTTTCATAGCCACCAGTAGAGTTACAAGTTGCCATTTTCATGCTAATATTTTTTCAGTACTGTATATATCTTTTAAATTTTTACTAACTTAACTGAGTATGTATGCGTATATATGTGGGTGATTACACACACATACATGACTGAAAGGAGGTAATTTAATCTAAAATAGAAACAAGACTTCATGGATCAGCTACCTATGATAATCAGTTGGATTTCAGTACTCCAGGAGACATGGTTTCAAACTGGGGACCTCTTAACCTAATTGTTGACAGATCTGTATCTTGCATAAGGATGTTACCCCCAGCTTTTCCACATTTAAGTAGTGGAACTTCATCAAAACTTCAGCTTATGGCAACTCCATCTTGTAAAATTGTGTAATCCGTACAAAAAGATTAAAAGGGAATCAAGTAAAACTGTGCATGCAAAGTTGAGAAATGACAATGTTACATTGGCTGTTTTCACATTTTTTTTTTATACAGAAGCATTACAAGTATCTTAAAATCATAGAAAAATGCAGGTTGGTTGGTTGGAAGGTACCTCTGGAGGTCCTGTGGTCCAAAGCCTTTAAGGAGGACTAACTTCATATTTAGATCAGGTTGTACAGGGCCTTAGTTCAGTTTTGAACCTAAGGATGGAAATTCCAACACCTCTCTGGGCACCTGTTCCAGTGCTGAATCACTGTCTTGAATATTTTTCCTTATCCCATGTGAGGATTTTCTGTGATGCAACTTGTGACTATTGTTCCTTTTTCTTTAGGTGTGCATTTCTGAGAAAAGTCTGGCTCCATCTTCTCTATAGCTATTTGTTATAGTTGAAGTGAAAAACTAGATCCCCAGTTAGCTTTCTCTTCACCAGGCTGAACATACCTCGCTTCCTCTGCCTCTTCTTCAAGTGCTTCATTTTATTTTCATTCTCAAATAGCACAACAATATATATATTCTTTTTCAGATATGAATATGTGTGTATATATATTCATATATATATATATATATATGTATTCTTTTTCATAGAAACAGATCCAGTGCACTGGATGTGACTAGCATGGTGTTGCCATGCCAATACCAGCATCATAGCTAATTAACCCTGCCTCTTAGCATGGTTGACTAGACCAGATTAAAATGTTGCATCTACATTACTCTCATTCAGTGCCTCCTCAGGGAGCTCTGTATCACATTATACTGCAAAGTGGATATGTGTTACAAAATAAAGACAGGAATGGAAGCGAATTTAGAAATGAGAAATGGACGGAAATTGGAAAGGGTCACTCATTCTTGATTTTTGCAGCCACTGTGAACAGAGACAAGGAGGAAGCTGCAAAAAAGAAAAAATAATCAGTTCATGCTCATTTACGACTAAAACTCTCTGATTTTCCAGATTTAAAACACTGAACAACATCTGTTTTTATCAAGGATTATATAAGGGAATATATTTACCAATAGGAAAATATGCAAAAGCAGAAAAGTTTAATCAGTATTATTCATAAGAAGTTAATTTAAAGTTCTTAAATGTGTGTGTTCCCATCAGAGTCCCCAAACTGAGTTAAA